GCTCTCCGTTAGCTGCTGCTCTGGACGGGAAGAGGGCGGTTAGAGGTGGCCACGCCCCTTCTTGGGGGTCAGGGATTGCGCCCCCTTCTGCAGCGCCGATCCAGGCTCACCCCCGGCGCGGAACAACTTCCCACCCGGCAGAGGCCAATGGGGCAGTGTTTTCCTGGCCGGCTACATCTACACAGCCAGTTTTGCCGGATGGAAGTATGCAAATGAGGTGCAGATTAGCATATTGCCACGCCTCAAATGCATAATTTATGCACGCTGGTTTAAAACCAGAAGTGTGGACAGAGGGCGTTTCTTTGCGCCAAACCCCCGTTTGCCACAAGATCGGTCAGCCTGCTTTCTGGGGGCGGAAGGATCTTGCGGAAAAGGAGTTTTGCGTCTGCTTTTTGCACCCAAACCCCATCTTCCGCACGATCGGTAAACCTCCTTTTTTGGGGGCCATACGGATCCCCACGGCTTGGGTTTTGTGCCAAAAAACCCCAGCGCCAAAACGGCGTGGCAGAAAATACGCAAATGAGCACGTGCCGCATGCAAATGAGTCCCTCATTAGCATATTTTTGGCCGAGAAAACTCGTCGTGCCGACATAGCTGCCCGGAGATGCTCCCCATCCTGCCAGTACCACCTGTTCTCTTGCTCCTCCATTACGCTCCTCCGGATCCCCTTGCGCCCATAATGTCCCCCTGCTTCCGGGGACACCTCTGACCTCCTTGGCCTCCAGCTGGCCCCGCCACCGCTGCGCCTCCGCCTGGCTCTCTGTCAGCTCTTGCGCCAGCTTAGCCTTGTCGTCCTCGGCTTCGCCCAGGCCGGCCCGCAGCTCCTCGCACTCCTCCGCCAAGCTGTCCAGCTGGTGCAACAGGACCCTCTGTTTGGTCTGGAGTGACTGCCCAAAAAGAGGAGATGGCCAGGGTGTTACCCGCAGCGAACCACATGGCTTTATGGCAGGGCGGGTGGGAATAACCCACCCCCCTGTGGTAACAGGGCGGCAGAGGTGCTAAGCCCTCAGCTTCCCACGAGTCGTAAAGGAACGCGGAGGGCAGCGGCCATCAAAAAAGCAAAGAGAGTGTTAGGAATCACGGAAAAAAAGGGATCGAGACTAAGACGGAGACTATCTTATTGCCTCTGTATAAAACCATGGGACGCCCACATCTGGAATCCTGAGCCCAGATGTGGTCGCCTCATCTCAGAAAAGATCTCTCGGCATTGGGAAAGGTTCAGAAAAGGGCAACAAACATGATTCGGGGTTGGAACGGGTCCCCTAGGAAGAGAGATTAAAAAGACGGGGACGTTTCCACGTAGAAAAGAGGAGACGAAGGGGGGATAGGATAGAAGTCTGTACAATCATGCCTGGAAACAGCGACGAAGGAAAAGTTAAGCACTGATTCCCACCATCGCAGAACTAGGGAATGAAATGGAGAGGCGGCAGGTTTCGAACAAACCAAAGGACGTTTTTCTTCACGCAGCGCACAGGCAACCTGGGGAACTCCTCGCCACAGGATGCGGCGAAGGCGAGAACTTTGAACAGGGTTCAAAAAGAGCTAGATCGATTCGTGGAGGTTAGGTCCATAGAATCATAGCACACGAGACAGCATCGATGGGTAGGAATAACCTCTCGCAGGGTAGGAAATGTTGTCCCTAGCCTCTGTTTCTCTGGAGGTGGGCGACGGGGCAGGGATCACGTGAGGATTCCCTGTTGTGATCCCTCCCTCTGGGGCTTCTGGCATAGGCTACTCAGCGCACAGTCAACCTGTGGAACTCCTCGCCAGAGGATGTGGTATTGGCCACAGGCGGCAGACGGGACCCTGGGCTGGATACACCTTTGGTCTGACCCCGTCTGGCCGTTCTGGTGAAGCTTGGGCAGCAGCTGAGGGAGCAGGACAGAAGAGATGGGATGAGGGTAGAGGGATGGCTGGAGCAGCATGGACCAGAGAGGGCCTACTGAAAAGCAGAAGGGAGTTAACCTAACCAAACCTCCATGGACCGAACCTCCATTAATCTATCGAGCTCTTTTTTGAACCCTGTTCCAAGTCTTGGCCTTCACCACATCCTGTGGCGAGGAGTTCCACAGGTTGCGCTGCATGAAGCAAAGCTTCCTTGGGTTTGTTTTAAATCTGCTGCCTATGGATTTCATTGGGTGACCCCTAGTTCTTAGGGTAGGGGGCAAACCCCTGGTTCCTGCCATGGCCACACCTCCTCGTGCCGAAGCATGCTTTCCACTTTGGCCTTCTCCTTGCCCAGCTGCGTGGCGGCCCCGCTGAGCTCCCGGCTTGCCGTCTCCAACTGGCTACTCAGCCGCTGCACTTGGTCTTCCAGCTTTGTCAGCTGGTGCTTGTGGACCATCTGGGTCTTCATCTCCTCCAGTAGCGAGCTTCGGGCCAGCTCTGTGAAGATAAAACACCCTGTGACCATAGCCAGGGAGAGGGGAGATGGGGCTGATCTTGTGTGGAGTGGATCAGAGAGGGGAAAGCAAGCTTTCGGACATGAATTCTGGGATGGATCAGAGGCGGGCTGGCCAGGGGTTAAACTCAGGCAGCTAGCAAGGGTGTCGGCAGGGAGCCAGAAGAACCAATGGGGATACAGCGCTGGAAATGGAATTGGATACGGTACTTTGCCTGCTTTCTTTGTGGGGGGAGAGTTAAACCAGGACCCAGAATGATTTAAACCCAGGCAGGAGTGGCATGCCTCCCAGGCAGTGGTTCCCAAACTTTTCGGCATCACACCCCCTTTTTGATTTTTGAGAAACGCTCACCCTCACCCCCAAAAAATAGCAGCAAAATTTGAGGGGGGGGGGGAAAAAGAAACTGACCAGGGCCAAAAACCAAAAATATCAGCAAAACTTGTTGAGCAAAAAAAAAAAACAAAAAAAAAGATTGCCCTTTTAAGAGCAGAGCAGAGCAGGCATTGCCCTTTTAAGGTGGCCAGTGGACCCCAAACTTTTTGGCATCACACCCCCTTTTTGATTTTTGAGAAACCCTCACACTCCTCCTTCCCCCAAAAAATAGCAGGAAAATTTGAGGGGGAAAAAAAAAGGAACTGACCGGGGCCGACAAACAAAAATATCAGCAAAATTTGTTGAGGAAAAAAAAAATTGCCCTTTTAAGAGTAAAGAAGGCATTGCCCTTTTAAGGTGGCCAGTGGTCCCCACACTTTTCGGCATCACACCTCCTTTTTGATTTTTGAGAAACCCTCACACTCCTCCTCCCCCCAAAAAATAGCAGGAAAATTTGAGGGGGAAAAAAAAAAAGGAACTGACCGGGGCTGACAAACAAAAATATCAGCAAAATTTGTTGAGGAAAACAAAATTGCCCTTTTAAGAGCAGAGCAGGCATTGCCCTTTTAAGGTGGCCAGTGGTCCCCACACTTTTCGGCATCACACCTCCTTTTTGATTTTTGAGAAGCCCTCACACTCCTCCTCCCTCCCAAAAATAGCAGGAAAATTTGAGGGAGGGAAAAAGAACTGACGGGGGCCAAAAAAAAAACATATCGGCAAAACTTGAGGGAAAAAAAAGCCCTTTTAAGAGCAGAGCAGGCATTGCATTGCCCTTTTAAAGTGGCCATTTTGAAGTCTGCGATATTCTCCGTCTTATTTTCTATCCTCTTTTAAATGATTTCTAACGTCCTGTTTGCTTTTTGGACGGCCACTGCCCACGGCGTGGGCGTCTTCCGAGAACTATTCACAATGACTCCAAGATCTCTTTCCTGATGAGTTGCAGCTAAATTACCCCCCCACCGTGTACCCCATATCCACAGAGCAGAGGGGGGAGGGATAGAGAGAGTTTACTGGTTAGCCCCCGGCATTATCACCCAGAAGCCACCTGTGGTGAGCGGTGGCCAGCTGGAGGCCACGTTTCAAACGCCGGCCCCAGATCTGAACCCCTCTTACACTCCAAATTCCTGCCCCCAGCCTGGTAAAAGTGAGTGAGGAGGGAGTGAGCGGGGCGGGGCCTGGGACAAGGGGCGGGAAGGAGGCGGGGCCAGGGGTATTTGGGTTTGAGGTAGGTCCTGGATGGCACTTACATTCAAAAAGTGATCTCGTGCTTACAAGGGTTGGAGACCCCTGATTTGAAGTCTTTGTGGGGCCCCACCTTCTGCACTCGGAGTCCCCAGGGCAAGCTCATCCAGACAGCCTGGGAGGTGGACTTCGCCGTTGGTCGCTCTCCGCATGGGCGCATGAGATGGGCGAAGGTGGCCCCTGGGGCCTTATCAGGCAGCAGAGAGACTGTCGTGCTAGCCACAAAGCCATGGCCCCACCTCGTGCCAAGAGCTAGCCCTGGGCCTCCCGCTAGTTCAGGGGTGGCCAACTCATTTAACAAAGAGAGCCAAAAGAGCAGCAGAAAAAACGCGAAGTCGCACCAGAACTGTCAAGCCAAAAAAAAAAAAAGAGGCTGCCCCTTTAAGACAGCCGCCATCTTGGGCGCCATTTTTTTTTAAAAACCCCGCAGCTCTGACTGGGTAAGCACAGGGAAACTGGGGGCTGAGGGGGAGCCAGCGGGTTGGCCATGGCTGCTCTAGTCCTGCCTCGTGTGGTACCTGAGCGGCGGCGGTTAGAAGACATTCGGCGGCTATAAAGATGGAGGCCATTTAAATACACGGCTCCCGATTCGCCTCTGCCTTACACCAGCGCTAATCGGGAGCGACTCGGCTCAAGAGACGTGCCCCGGCGTAGGACCCGCAGGAAAGGAAACTGAGGTCCGTGTAGGAGGCCAGATGGACGGAGGAGAGCCTGAGGAATCTTACCAAGCTCGCGCACAGTAGCATGCTGGGAAAACAGCTCCTCTTTCAGGGCAGAAATTCTCTCCTCTAGCACGACAGCGCCTAAAACAACCAGAGGAAATGACTTAGGATTCCCAGCCAAACCGACTCCGTGGGACCGAGATTTTTCATCTCTGGTGGTGTCTACTCAAAACACCGGTTGGCTGGCCCCGCACCTGTCTGCAGCTCGTCCTTGTCCCTCTCCAGCCTGGCTGTGATCTGCAAACTCTCTTCGATCCGTCCCTCCAGGTCCCGTTGCGTCTCCTTCCTCTGCCGTTCCTGGGTCTCCTTCTCCTCTTGAAGGAGCTGATCAAAAGTCTCCACCTGCGTCCTCAGCTCGGCCTTCTGCTTCTCAGCGTCTTCCAGCGCGGCCGTCAACGGGTCGATCCGTTGCAGCATCCCCTCCAGGTGTTTGTTGATCCGGGAGAGGTCTTTGCTCTGTTCTGACGCCCAGAAACTCACGTCCGCCGCGGCGAGTGGCGCTCCGGCAGAGGCTGATGATGGCTTTCCCCACCTCCCGGAGGCTGGCCTGGCTGCCTGCACATGCATCGCAGGGTACCAGAGCTGACTCAATCGTCTGGGAATGGACACTCTTGGTGTGACCGTCCGTGGACGGTGGCAGCACGGGGTCGGAGAAATCATAGTCTGGCACACAGATGGTTCGCGAGGGACATGAGACGGTTGACGGGGCACTGGCTAACGAAGCCCCTGATTCCGAAAGCACAGGCGAGCAGCCCTTCAAACGCTCGTGCTCAGCTTCCACATCTCGGAGGGCGGATCTCAGGGCAGCTATGTCCTTCCTGTTGGACTTCTTCTGTGGAACGGGAGAAGGAAGACGGTTGCTATCCCATTGAAAGAAGTTATGCTCAACGAGCGTCACGGAACAGGATAAAATGGCACCCATTAAAAAAAAAAAAAAACCAGAACCCAGGAAACTGGCAACGGATCATTTCTGTAACCCAATGGGGACCCCTTCGCTTCACTGCTGGCAGGACCAAAAATTCATCACCACTGAAACTTGACTTAACCCTGGCACATGCGCAGTGGCAAGGCATGTTGGGGTCTGTGGTCAGCTTTGGAATTGGATAAGGTACCTTGCCTGCTTTCTTTGCGGGGGGGAGAGTTAAACCAGGACCCAGAATGATTTAAACCCAGGCAGGAGTGGCATGCCTCCCAGGCAGTGGTTCCCAAACTTTTCGCCATCACACCCCCTTTTTGATTTTTGAGAAACGCTCACCCTCACCCCCAAAAAATAGCAGCAAAATTTGAGGGGGGGAAAAAAAGAAACTGACCAGGGCCAAAAACCAAAAACATCAGCAAAACTTGTTGAGCAAAAAAACAAAAAAAACAAAAAAAAACAAAAAAAACATTGCCCTTTTAAGAGCAGAGCAGAGCAGGCATTGCCCTTTTAAGGTGGCCAGTGGTCCCCAAACTTTTTGGCATCACACCCCCTTTTTGATTTTTGAGAAACCCTCACACTCCTCCTCCCCCCCAAAAATAGCAGGAAAATTTGAGGGAAAAAAAAGGAACTGACCAGGGCCGACAAACAAAAATATCAGCAAAATTTGTTGAGGAAAAAAAAAATTGCCCTTTTAAGAGTAAAGAAGGCATTGCCCTTTTAAGGTGGCCAGTGGTCCCCAAACTTTTTGGCATCACACCCCCTTTTTGATTTTTGAGAAACCCTCACACTCCTCCTCCCCCCAAAAAATAGCAGGAAAATTTGAGGGGGAAAAAAAAAGGAACTGACCGGGGCCGACAAACAAAAATATCAGCAAAATTTGTTGAGGAAAAAAAAAATTGCCCTTTTAAGAGCAAAGAAGGCATTGCCCTTTTAAGGTGGCCAGTGGTCCCCAAACTTTTTGGCATCACACCCCCTTTTTGATTTTTGAGAAACCCTCACACTCCTCCTCCCCCCCAAAAATAGCAGGAAAATTTGAGGGAAAAAAAAGGAACTGACCAGGGCCGACAAACAAAAATATCAGCAAAATTTGTTGAGGAAAAAAAAAATTGCCCTTTTAAGAGCAAAGAAGGCATTGCCCTTTTAAGATGGCCAGTGGTTCCCAAACTTTTCGGCATCACACCCCCTTTTTGATTGTTGAGAAACCCTCATGCTCCCCCAAAAATAGCAGGAAAATTTGAGAGGGGAAAAAAAGGGAACTGATGGGCCGGGAAACAAAAATATCAGCAAAGCTTGTTGAGCAAAAAGAAAAAAAAAAAGATTGCCCTTTTAAGATCAGAGCAGGCATTGCCCTTTTAAGGTAGCCAGTGGGTCCCAACTTTTTGGCATCACACCCCCTTCTTGATTTTTGAGAAACCCTCATGCCCTCCTCTCCCCCCAAAAAATAGCAGGAAAATTTGAGGGGGGAAAAAAAGGGGAACTGATGGGCCGGGAAACAAAAATATCAGCAAAGCTTGTTGAGCAAAAAGAAAAAAAAAAAGATTGCCCTTTTAAGATCAGAGCAGGCATTGCCCTTTTAAGGTAGCCAGTGGGTCCCAAGCCTTTCGGCATCACACCCTCAGGTGAGCTTACTCGAAGCTCACGCTTCGAAACGTGATCTGATCACGGACGGTTCGGCCCCTCATTGGTTTCGCAGAACCGATATAAAGGGGGCGGGGACCATTTTTCTGATCGGGGTCCACTGAAAAAAATCAGACGGGGGAGCCACACACAGGCAAAAAAAAACCCCCAAAAAACACGCACCGCAAGGTTCGGCGCTTCCCGATGTGCTGCGCGCTGGATCAAACAACGGGCCGTAGACACGCCCCCGCTGGGCCTACCTCGGTCCCTCGTTGCTGACAAAGCGCTCCCAGTTTCAGCAGGCCGGTCCAGTACTTCCTCACCGCCAGCCCGACGGACATGCAGGGTCCCACGGCCCGGGAAGGGGGCACGGCTTGGTCGCTGAGGAGAGTCTCCACGTAGCCTGTGAAGCTCTGCAGCAGTAACAGCAGCCTTTTTGGGGGGCAGAAACACAACACGACTTTGAGCGGCAATGGGCTTTTTCGTGACTGCCCTGCAAGTTAGGGGATCATCTAAGGGGGCCCAGGGTTGGTGTCGGGCAAACCAAACAGTGGTAAATCCTACCAGTGGTTCCCAAACTTTTCAGCATCACGCCCCCTTTTTGATTTTTGAGAAACCCTCACGCCCTTTCCCACGCTCCAAAAATAGCACCAAGACTTGTTGAGTAAAAAAGAAGAAAAAAAAAGAAAGACCTTTTTAAGAGTAGAGCAGGCATTGCCCTTTTAAGGCGGCCATTTTGAAGTCTTCCCAAGCAGAGGGACGGACTGGGCTCTTTCTTGGAGGGGGAATGACGGGCAAACCAAACAGTGGTAAACCCTACCGGTGGTTCCCAAACTTTTCGGCATCATGCCCCCTTTTTGATTTTTGAGAAACCCGCACGCCCTCCCCTGTGCCCCCAAGAATAACACCAAAACTTGTTGAGTTAAAAAAAAAATTGACCTTTTTAAGAGTAGAGCAGGCATTGCCCTTTTAAGGCGGCCATTTTGAAGTCGAGCGGATGGATGGACTGGGCTCTTTCTTGGAGGGAGGAGGATGGGGGGGG